TAATAGCTTTAACGATATTACTGAAAGTTTTGCTCCAGATGGTTTTTCATTCTTAAAGTACAATGTAATTTTTTATAAATTGAGTCACAGTACTTTATCTATTCCAGAGGTTACAGAGTGCATTTGTGTAAACAATGAGATGCATGTTAAATTATTTTACAGAGGTTCACCTCTGCCATTGCCTCAGTGGTTTCGTCAAGGAAGAGATTGTCGTTTATCTTGTAAAAGTATGCTTCATAATTTTCCTACCTACATTAAGTCACAAGTTGAACAATTTTTATCTGTATTGACTGAATTACAGCAAATTAAATATATGAAAAAACTCATTTATTCAGCCAATATTATAAGGTATTCACTGATATTGCGATATACTTCTATGCAGTCATACCAACTTTTGCCTGAAGAATTGCCTTTACCATCATTGTCATTACTTAAAAAAATAACTAGTGGAAATATTGATGCTCTAAGTTGTGCAAAGCATTTAAAATTAGAAGGTAAGATATCTCAAGACATTTGCTTGATTTTTGATGAAATGCACTTGCAAAAATGTGAGGAGTATTTTGCTAGAGAGATGATTGGTTGTGATGAGTCTGGAGAAATGTATAGGGAATAGTTTGTTTTATGATAGTTGGCCTGAAACAAAACATTCCATATGTGATCAAAATGTCTCCTGAAAAAACAATGCTGAATGGTTGAAAGAAGAAATATTTGAATGTCTTCGTATTTTAACTGAATGTTAATTTAATGTTAGAGTTATTGTATGTGACAACCATTCCGCTAATGTTTCTTGTTTTAAAAAAATACTTTGTGCATCGAATCAATAAGCCGAAGATTTGTTTTTTATTTACAATCTAAAAAAAATTAACCTCTGTTTTGATGTTGTACATCTTATTAAAAACACCAGAAATAATTGTTAAAAAGTTAAATTGCAATAGATTTTTATTTCCAGGTTTTAGCTTTAAGGGATTAAAAGATCCTATAATTGTATGTGGAGAGAAATTAAATGGAGTATCTTCCACAATATTTATGAACTGCATCTGCAGCGATTCACTCATATTTTCCTGATCTTAAAAGTAGTGCAGATTTTCTTACATTATTTAACATGTGGTGGGTTTTATCAAATTCTAAATGTCAGTATTCAGCATGTAATATTTTAGGTAATGCAGTTGTTTCTGGTGATAAAAAACCTGAATTTCTTCGGGAAATGGCACATTGGATTGAAGTTTAGCAATCACAAAAGATACCAAACTGAGAGAAGTTTACTTTAAGTGTTCAGACAGCTACAGCACTAATAAGAACACTTAATAAGCATGCCTCATTGATCTAGGACTTGCTTAATGATGGATATCACTTTGTTTTAACTGCTAGATTTAAAAGTGACCTATTAGAAAGGAGATTTGGACAATATAGACAAATGATCGGTGGAAGATTTTTGGTGGGTTCAAAAGATGTCACTATTTCTGAAAAAATATTTAAAATCAAAAGTATAGTTAAAAAAAGTATTAACTTTGATGATAGTTTGAAAGTGCCTCTTGAGTCAAAAAATAATTTAACAGATTTGAAAAACTTTCTTCTTGGTATTGATAAAGCTCAGTGTACTCCAGAAATCATGACACTTGCACCAGAAAGAAGGGAAGTAGGTGCTCATATTGCTGGTTATATAGCAAAGAAACTTAAAAAACGTTTTGGTACATGTTGTAAAGAATTTTCATGTTGTGTCAATATTGATGAAAGGAATCCTGATCATACTTATTTAAGAGTTCTTCACTTTAGGATTATGTTTGCACATTCTTTGCTATGATTGACTACTCTTATAACAAAATAAAGAAATTTAGTTTAAATGCACGGCAAACTTAGGATAAACTGGGATAAAACTTGCTGGAAGAATTGTTGTCAACATTTTTCTTAATAATAAAAGAATTATCTCTACCAGTGAAGTAGCTGTTGATCATGTAAAATCTTTTAAAAAGAGAAAATTTGAGAAAATTCAATTATATATATATATATATATATATATATATATATATATATATATATATATATATATATATATATATATATATATATATATATATATATATAATTATTTTTTAATGAAAAAAGAAAAACATTTAAATATTTTTTATAACTGTTCTTGTTTCTTACATCGTTTTTACTAATTCTAAATTTTAAAATAAAGACTATTTATTTCTTAATAAATGTTCGTTTAATATCTAAAATTATGATTATATACTACTTTTGAGGACTTTTTGAATTTAGAAATTAAAATAATTTTGAAAATGTTCAAAAACGTATTAGGTTTTTGAAACATTACAATTTTAAAAACTGGCCTTCTATTTTTTTTTTTCAAAATACAAAATATCCGGCCGTATAAATAAAGTAGGCCATGTGTAGCTGTGTGTTCAACTTCAATGTTTTGTATACTTTTTTTTTGTATAAAAAATAAAAAGTTCAAACAATAAATATATAATTTTTCAAACAATAAATATACAATACTGAATTTATTAATAATTTTGAAACAACTAAAATGGTTTGAATCATAGCCGTCTATATTAACAGGCCTCGTAAATGCGTAAATCGGAGCCTGGGGCTGGGGGTCAATAAAAAACAACAACTAAGAAAAAGTCAAGTGTAGCATGAATATTTGCTTGTAAAAAAGTGTTTCCATTTAGTGTGAGTGAACTATAGCTAACCCATTTATCTTACTTAATAATTAAAACCTATTTATATCAATTTAATTATTATAACTTAATTATATTAATTTAATTATTAACCTATTAATAATTAAAACCTATTTATTCATAACAAGCTTTCTACGAAGATAAAAAAACATTCCTTAACTCTAAAACTTAGTCTATAAAAACAGAACTTTCCTTAGCTATAAGATGCAAAATCTTTCACAAAATCACCCAATCAGAGGATACAAAAAAATCACACAATCAGAGGATACAAAAAAAATCACACAATCAGAGGATACAAAAAAATCACACAATCAGAGGATACAAAAAAAATCACACAATCAGAGGATACAAAAAAATCACACAATCGGTGGATACAAAAAAATCACAGAATCAGAGGATACAAAAAAATCGCACAATCAGAGGATACAAAAAAATCACACAATCAGAGGATACAAAAAAATATATTTTATAGTATACTTTAAAATGCTGAAGTTTCAAAAAAATTGTAATTGAACATTTTTAGTAACAACAAAATTTGTAACAAAGTTTTTAAAATATTTTAGATATAGATTAAAATACTAAATTTTTTACAAAACCACTAAACAAACAGAAAATATAAGTAACATAGAGTTGTAGAGTTTTCATAAAAAATTAAGTAAAAAACACACTCAATAAGTTTACTTTAAAAGCTTTAAGATTTTTTGTTGTGACACTTTAGATGTGACTGTCAGGTATATTGTTTCATGATATAGCATTCACCCAACGAATATATTTTTCTTTTTCATGAGGAAGCCGGAAAACTTTTTATATATTTTCCTTATTGTAATTACCATTATACTTCGTCACACAACATTTTTAAGGCATTTTTTGTATCTATAAACTAGATAATTGTTGTACTTTAATTAAAAATTAGTAAAGACGACACTCGCAATAATTAAACAAAATAATTTTAGAATATTGTCGGCCCCCAGCCCCAGGCCTCTATATACGACTATATTACAAGGCCCGTTAATAAAGACACCTAAGATTAGAATGTAAATGCACATAAAATATGGGTCGGACAAAATGACCAATAGATATCGTTTTTTACCGGGCAAGTGCCGGATAATGTCCGATGTCCGGCGCTTATTTCGAGCCCTACTAGTGCATAGCTAAAAGAGTATTTTTGTCTTCTTTTTTTTTTGCAGATCAGGGTAAATTTCTTTTTCTGTTTTGATGCTTTCTGTGTTGATACCTTGTGTAATTCTAACATGACAGAAAGATGTTAAACGAATATGTTTTTTTTTTGTCTTTTACTTGAATGTTTCTCTTTCGGTGTATTTTAAACTTCTCATACCTATAAAAATGAAATACCAGACAAAGCTTTCTGAATGATAGGGATGGGATTTGCTTGGTTGGCACATAGACCACTTCCTAAAGCTTTAAAAATTAATCTATATATTTTTGTAAAACTGTATTCACCTCTTTCTGAATGATAGGGATGGGATTTGCTTGGTTGGCACATAGACCACTTCCTAAAGCTTTAAAAATTAATCTATATATTTTTGTAAAACTGTATTCACCTCTGTATGTGTATATTTATGTATGTGTGTATTTATATGTATGTATCTATTAATAAGTATACATTTATTGTAATTATATTTATACATTTATGTATTCAAAGTTTATGTATTCGGTTATAGATATTTATAACTATGCTGTTATTAATGTTATTTATATTTAAGCATGTGTTTTTAAAACAAGTTTAAATTAGTTTTAAGAACATTAAATTTATTTTTTTCCAGAGCCTGATATCTCAATTATGAAGGTTAAAAAACATTCTAATATTTAAAAGCTTTTGCTTAAGTGCCACGATACAAAATCTGGAGCTCTCTCTGGTCCAGTGTAAAGAGCATAGCTCGAAAGAACTGTTACTCATACTGTAACAGTTCCTTTAAGCTTGGAAAATTTTTTTCGTCTAATTTTTTCTCTCAAAATTAAATGCTTCGGAATTTTATCTTGTTTTTATGTATTTCTAACTCACACAATTTGAATTCATCGTTTTACTACTCAATTTAAATGATGTTTTACTACTCAATTTAAATTTGTTAAACTTTTAATGTTACAAGCAGTATTATACATAAGAATTTCAATTAAAGTCCATAAACACCTGTTGACCTTTTTATTGGTAGTCCTCGTTAGTACCTAATATTCATAAAGATAGTTTAAACAGGAACAAGTTATCGATTAAATTTTTGTTTTTATAAAAGTTGTAAGGTTTTTTATTTATTTTTTAAATAAATTTTACGTTTAGCTATTTTATATTTTTTTTGATTTTAGCTAGGAACTGTTAAAGCTGTTATTGATTGATTGGATTGTGATTAACCAATTTGAGATGGCTTCTTGATTGCATTAAAGGATGTGCGATTGGTTTGTGATTGATATGATTGGCTGATAGGTCATTTGTTTGTAATTAGTATCATTGACTGTTGGCGATTAGTGCGTGATTGGGATCATTGACCTATAAACTTAATTTGTGCATAGTTTTGAAAAATAATAAGTTAATTTTTTGTGATTTAATGAAAATAAATTTTATTAAAAAAAAAGAAATTAGAAGTATAGTTTGCTATAATTTTGTTTTGTTTTGTTTTTGTTTATATATATATATATATATATATATATATATATATATATATATATATATATATATATATATATATATATATATATATATATATATATTACATTTACAAGATTTTTTAGTTATTCCAATTGTTGTATTTTTTTAAAAAATTTATTTTATAAATATAGAAAATGTACATAAGGTGAAATATCATATAAAAATAAAGTTAGACTATTTAATTTTTACCACCGCTGATCGACGAAAGCTATCGTTGTCAATTTATTCGTCGCTCACTGCTTTTTTAAGGGTGGGTTCAAGTTGAAGTATCTAGTATTTTACTCCCTTAAATCGTTTTTTACCTATAGGCCTGTATGAGTGGTGTATAGTCATTGTCATTTCACAGTCGTCTAAATCATTTTTATGGGGTTTTAAATTAATAGTTAAAACGTATAATTTACAGACTTCTATTAAATGACAATCGCCTATAATTTATATATTTATTTATTTACACTTTTGCCAATAAAAAAGGTTTACAGTCGTAACTTATAAAAATTAATTACATGACCGGGGCTAGAAGAAGACAAATTTAGTCTTATCATTAAGCCCCAAATCAGAAAATGTTTTTTCATTTGTTTCATTGCGATGTAAATGAAGGAATAGTGAAGTTTTTTTCAGTTTTATTTTTAGTTTTCCCAAAACATGAAAAAAATAACTTCGGCTATTCCGTTATGCAGTGCTTAAAAAGTTTTTTCGGTTAAAAGTATTCAACTCAAATTTTTAATCTAAGTTCACATACGTGATTTTTCAAAACATCTATCTTTTAATTTGATTGTTTTTGTTTATAATTGATTATTTCAGTTAAAAAGAAGTGAATTAGCTCAAAAAAGGCTTCCGAAATAAAAATTTTGAAAGGTTTTTTCCAAACAAAATTTCCAGGATATTTAAACGTAAGTATGAACTTCTGTAACTGTCAGATATTATCCTTATGGCCCTCCTTATATTCGAATGTTTCTATAACTTTTTTTCACGATCTTATTGATCTGTTTGATTCCAACCTTTTAATTTCAGGTTTTAAAATTTAAAAAAATTAAACAACCTACGCAGAAAAATTACTAAAAATGTTATGAGCTGTTACAATTTTTTTTCTAATTAATGTTTATAAATTTTGTTGCCGTGACTTTAAAAATGCAAATCCTGGGTTTTAAACTTTTTTTTTATTTAAATTTTGCTAGTTATAAAGTTAACCATGATTATATGAACAATGTGGAATATAATTTATACAATTTTTTATTCGTATTTTTTAGTTAGCATAGAGTGAATAAGAGTTTTAACTTTTTTTATGTTCATATTGATGTCAAAATAGCTTGATAATTGAAGTTGTCGATCTAGAGTACGGCCTCTAAAGTATCTAAAAGTAATGTGAAAGCTTCTTTCATAAACAGTATCACACTTCATTTGTATATTTCACATTTAAAAATGGCACAGATAATTTTAAAATTATCAGTATTATTTAGTTCATATAAATGTTTGTTGTTATTATTAATGTTTATTAAAGGCTGTGTTCACATTTTCCCGTTAAATCCTACAATACGCTTACGTCTGATTAAATATAAAGCGACATTTTTTTTTTTATTCAATCAGCTTTTTAATCTTGATTTGATTCAGAAGGATCAAATCAAGATTATGTTAAATAAAAAAATAATTAGCAGTAGAAATTATCCTGTTAAATACTATTGTTAAAAGTACAATTGAAGGAGTTTTTTAAAACATAAAACTGATATTCAAATAACTTGTTTAACTTTTTCATTAACAACATCTAATCAATATTCGAATTTACTATTTGTTATTAGTTTTAGTTGAAACAAATAAGTTTAATACTAAATAACTCTCATTATACTTTATATAGTTTATTCTACATTTAAAAACACGGTAATGTATATTAATTCGTCATTATATACATTATATTATACATTATATTTTATAATGTTATTGTGTACATTATATTTTATTATGATATTGTGCTATGAATTGTGATGCATTTTGTATTGCTTTTTAATACAAACACTGTTACGAGTGCATATTTATGCATAAGCAATTTATGTATTATGTATGGAAACAATGAGCATAACTAATGTATATGAGTTAGCAGTGGTGTCATGAGATGGTATAAAAATAATCACCTGAAAGTTGTTTAAAATAGCAAATACTTCAAACTGCCCAGTATTAAAAATTATTACAAAGTACTGGGTAATTATTAAACGAAAAATAAAAAAAAAACAAAAAAAAAAAATATGTAGAAACATTAAAGAAAATGTTATTTTGAAAATGTTATTTTAAAAAAATCAAATACTTTTGATTATTATTTTGTGTGCAAGCTTATGGATGCCATCAAAATTAAAGTTTGAAATTCTATTAGATACCCACAGGAATAAATTAATTTCTTTGAAACATTTTATCTAATGTAATTTTCAGGGCAATTGTTATTTCTACTGTACATAAATGATATTTATTTATCATCAAATCTTATAAATTTTATTCTATTTGCAGATCACACTAATCTCTTTTATTTACACAAAAATATTAAAATACTTTTAAAACACGTTAATAAACAATTAGATAAAGTTAATGAGTGGTTTGTAAGTAACAAATTTTCTCTAAATGCTGATAATACTAAATTCATTTTGTTCCAAAAGTTAAATAAAGCTGAAAACGTCCCATTAAAATTTCCAAACTTTATTATAAATTAAAAAAATATATTTTTTTTAATTTTTTTAGGTGGCCCAAGAAGCCCTTACGGTCTCATCACAGAGCACTGCGTATGAGCCTTTAATTGGAAGTTTACGCCTCCTTCCTAACCGATGTCGCAAAACTTGCCCAGAGGTGGGGTTTGAACCACAACTCCTTTGTTTCTGAGGCAAATGCGCTACCACTGCGCCACGGCTGTTCGAATATTTAAATAATGATAATAGAGGTTAAAAAAAAACATCGGTAAACTTTTTAGTCGTTGAAATGGAGGAAAATTTAAGATGGAAAAAAAAAATTTCTAGAAATATAGGAATAATTTATAGAGCTAAACCATTTCTTAATTTTAAATCACTAAAAGGTTTATGCTTTTATCCAAAGTTACCTAACATACTGTAATATCGACTGGGCAAGTACCAATCATACAAAATTAAAAAAACTTTATAGTAAACAAAGACATGCATGTCGAATTATATTTGGAGCAATTAGAACAGAATCCTGTGAGCTTTAAAAATGATTTTACTCTCTCAATATAGATATATGTATATATCTCCTTTTTTTTTCATCTTTTTATTTATTTATTTTTTTTATTACAAGTATACAATCGTTGTTTTTTTTGCAACTGCAACTGCAGCTGCCTTTTTTTTCTTTTTGCAACTGCAGATAATGTAAGCATTTTAGCAATAACTAATTACTACTTTGTATATTTACGCCAATATAATATGATATTCAGAAATCCCGATTTTTTTAAAAATTGATTCGGTAATAAGACAGAATGCCTTCTTCTTGCTCCAGTCATTACTTATTTTATTGTATATATATGAAAATTGTATACATTGTTGAAGACAAAATAAACATTTAAAATAATAATAATAAAAAAAAAGTATTAGTATTAATACTAAGTATTAGTATTAATGACTTAAATTTTTCAAATTTTTAATAAATTTAGTAAAAAATAAGCTCAATTGCACAAAGATGTGCATCTTTGTGCAATTAAAATTTCATAGGCTTTTACGAGCAAACAACTATAAGTTTTAAACAAAACCATGATTGTTTTTGTTAATTAGAATAATAATTGCTTCTCGATATTGGATTTTATCTTCAATAAATTTGAATTTTAAATAAAAGAAAGTTTGTTCATTAAAAGTAGAAATAAACAGAAATAAAACAAACAAATGAACCATTACCAATACCGTTTTATCTATCTGTTTTAACCATTACCGATACTGTTTTATCTAGTTTGTCTTAACCATTACCAATACCGTTTTATCTAGTTTGTCTCTTATCTGTTAAAAATTTGTTAAAATTTTAAATGCTTTTCTTATTATATTTTACAAACAGGTGGATACATTTTTAAAACACCGGTATCCTTTAAGCAACACAGTCAGTTATGTTGCTATAAAAATTTAGATCTGCATTTTAAAAGAATATTAAAATTTTTTGATATACTAATGTTTCAGCATTTAAACATTTAACAAACATTTGAACCAGCAACATTTAACAAAGCAATTAAACAAACAAGAAACAGCAGTTAAACAATTATAAAAAAACAAAAACATTAGCAAACAAATCTAACAAACAAACATAATCAACAATTAAAATAGACAAAATTAGCTATCAAAGAAATTTTTTTAGATTTTAAATTTAAAAATAATAAGAAAATTGCTATCGTGGTCTTTTGTACTAAATTTAAAAAATAAGAAAATTGCTATCAATAGTGGTCTTTTAAACTAAATTTAAAAAATAAGAAAATTGCTATCAATAGTGGTCTTTTAAACTAAATTTAAAAAATAAAAAAATTGCTATATGTGTAACACAATTTGCTTGCTTCCTATGTAAGAGTGCAACTTGTAAAAAAAGCATTTAAAACATACATAAAATAGTTATTTTAATATAAATTGTTCATCAAGTTTGTTAAAGGTTTTATACACCATATCTATTTTTGTCTAACCACTGCTGATAAGTTTATTCAAAAGTTTCTTTCAATTATTTTTCTGTCTGCAGTGAATTTTATTATGTTGTAACAAGCTGGACACTGCTTTAAGCCAAAAGCTTTAAATTTAATTTTTTTGCATTGAAGATTAAATTTGCAGCTTCATTGCATTGAAGATTAAATTTGCAACTTCAAAGTATTTTAACTTTTTTGTTTTTTTCTTGCATCTTGCATCCACTTTGCACTTTTTTTTACTTTTCTTTTTTTGCTTTAAACTACTTTATTATTATTATATTTTTA